AATTACATAAGGTGTTGTTTTGTTGACTATGTAGACTGACTACTTGAAATATTGGTTATCACCATGAGAATAAATTCCGAGCAAAGTGCTACAATTGATATTTCATTGTGACAAATTTTTATAGCGGTTTATTCAAGGTAACTACAAGGCATTGTTTTGATTTTTAAAACGAAATGTCTTGTTGACTTCATAGATTCTAAAAAATCATCAACACGCTTCTGGTAATCCAAGTAAATATTGTTACAACCTAATATAGTAAAAATAAATTCCTGTTTTGAAAGTACTTAGGATATGAGATTTGAAATCTCTCTGTAGCAAGTTAATAGGTTTGTAATCGCATTATTAAGTGATTATTTTCATTTATTATAATTATTTTGAAATTTATTGTGTGGCTTTGGTCATACTGTACAGCCTGCGACCATACGTTGTTTTTTCTAAAGACCAACTGTATAATATTTTGACAGTTCATTTTTCCTGTCGTAGATGAATGTTTCTGCTTGGGAAAGCATGTCCGTCTGCCGCACAAATGTCTCATCCTGGGAATGATGTGCTGGACTACAAACCCGATACCCTCGTTTATGAGCGATCAAGAATCGTTGCAGCCCATATTACTTCAGCCCACAAGGCATGATAGCCTTGTGTTCACGCCATACACTTGTACACATTATTGTTGGTTGTGGCTAGTGAGATTTCCCTGCTGAGGAATAATTTTGCAGCTATAACTTTGTGAAAGATAGTGGTAACGTGGATAACACAATTTTCCGCGTAGGGATGAGCATAAACTTGAGTGCACTTCTTGATCATCACTATTACGTGTAGGGGGAAAGAACTGCAAACTGAGTTTTGTTAGACAGTTCTCTACACCTGTCTCGATCGATCATCGTTCAATTCAGAAGTATGGTGTCTCTCTTCCGGGGGCGAGTCAATTCGCTTGGCTTGAAGGATATCCGGCAGGGGAACAAAGGTTCAAGACATCTGAAAGAAACTTACTTTATAGACGGAAGATATAGAGTACATTTAGGAACATGCTAGAGCAGGTAAAGGCATAAGTAAATGGTGGGGATTTCACAAATCCGTGGCTGACATTTCTCTGCACGCCTTCTAAATTACGGGTCTTGTTCTCATGCCCTGCCCTTGTTCTCAACCTGTGGTAGTCAACCTCTGTTATACCCCCGAGGGGATAAAGTTTTGGAGATGTTCTGACCAAGGCTATGCAGTGCATGGTGAAATGTCGTGAGCAGCGGATTGATATGTTTCACACAGCCATCGATGCTTTTCGTCTACAACAGTCCGGGGCCGTCAGACATGACATGTACAAAGGTGATCACTTCAGTTCGCCAAGAAGCAAGATGATCCCCTCGATGCCTACAAAGTTCTGCTGTAACTCCTTATTGCGATAAATCGGCCATGAAATTATGGTCTGTAAGCTAGGTGTGATTGATTTCAGCTTTACGCAAAACATCCTCCCAAAAGGAGGAGGGCGTTTTTTCTCCGATTGCATAAAACTCGAGTTCATAGCTTTACAGCTTACTTGAAAAGTGCCAGTAAAATCAGACTGTACAGAGACAAGTTTCCAAGGCATTTTCATGAGTACTATATACAATTGCGTAGTGTTGTAGTAACAGAGTATCGAGACTGTCGTTGAAGAGGCAGCAAGGAATCTCCTCAAGAGAGATGATTTTACATTAAAACGCTAAACTTTCACCATACTGTCCGATTAGGATACCATTTGTGTGTGTGTGTGTGCGCCGGCACGGTGTTTTGAAAGGTGGCCTCCATTTGGAACTTCCGTCAAAACCAAACTTTACTGTACAATTCTAAATATGACGACGAAAACAGGCACAAAGTCGAGTCCGGTTGCTTTAGTCCCAAAGGCGTTCCGGGCTGTGGATGCGTGTCCGAGTGCAGCTCTAGCCAGTCTTTTTGATCTATGGGTCGCATGCAAGTCTAGTCAAGTGGCTAGTTCAAATCGAGCCACTTGACTGTGGAGACATGCCTATCTCAAGAGGAGGGTTCGGGCCCAGCTGAGCCTGCGCATCCTTGATGTTCGGGCGTACGAGCAGTTTTCGGTTTCCTTGGGTTACAGTTGATGACAGAGTTAGTGCAGTCGGCGGCGCTGAGCTCATATATTCAAGTGCAACATCTGCAGAATGCGTGCTGGTTAAGTTCTCACCACTGGGTTCCTGAAAAGCACACTAACACCGTGACGGACAGTACATGAAGACCCGATCGTTCTCTGCAGTATGGGGGCCCATCTAAAGACATGCATCAGCAGCTTCAAAACCAATTCTTTCCTTTCCCTCTATGCCGACATATCCCCAATCTCAGTTAACAGCTGCAATTTCGGTGCTGAACTTTTGAAGTCCTTCTCTATAGCTTTCCCTGGTTTCAGTCATATGTATTGAGCTTTTGGGGATGCACTTTTTCGCATCACCGTACCGTTCGGTTTTAGTCTACTGCAAGCAGTAAACGTGGGATTCACTGGGTAGTAGATGCCATCTAGAATCGAGTTTCACTCATCGAGACCTACGAGTCTACTGAAATGCAGAATGCCAGCCGTTCCGAGTGATATAATGGACCTCGTTTCATTCAGATCAGAATTCGTCGATCGTGCACGAGTCCCGAGACAAAGGATCGGTCTAACGAAAACCTGGTCTGGTGGCGGCGGACGTACGCTAGGTGCACCAGATTGTATCCTTGTATCCTCAAAAGGGAAGTAAGAGTTCATTCAGGGCGAGTAAGTCAGTTACAGCTTGTCATACATATGCTCTTTTCTCTGGCGTTTTTTCGACGGATGAAAGCACTTCTACTTGCATCGACTTGATAAGCGGTGACACCGACGGAAATTGGATACGCGAGAAGTTGAAAGATCACTTTAAGAGCAAGCACGAACTCCTCACAACATGAGGAATTGACAATTTTGGCTTCGTTTGCTGGCAGATGAGCATGGACGACGAAAGTCATCCTCGGTCTCCTTATTGGGCTTATACGCCGCCCTTTAGACTGAGTCTGCTGCCATTGGCTTGTGTGTACATGATCTGACGTTACACTAAATGCCGTGCACTCTCCACGATTAAACTATTGCAAAGACAGTGAACATTTGAGAAAAGCTGACGACTACAAAGCTGCCCTAGGACGGATGTTGAACAAGAGGTGTGAAATTCACCTTTCTGGAGCTTTCGTCGAGTATCCAGACTTCAATATCCACATTTGCGAATTGTGCGCCTCTCAATAAGCCCGATATCCATCTGGTTGCTCCTCATGATTCATCAATTCCAAATTAGGTTCCAATGTAGTCAGTGGTTATGACGAATGCAATTTTGCACAAGGTACAGAACTCATAGAAGTACTGGCAATTGAGTGGTGATTGACATTTCTTCGGGAAGTGAACATCGTAGCGTATCGTATCGATACCTTCTAATTGTATAAATGTCGGGAGGTAGAGAGACTGGGCAGAAACATGATATTGAAGGCATAAGGTGAGCTGTATCAGACATTGCAGAAATGTCTTCGACCATTACTGTGAACGTGAGAAAGATCAAGAAGAGAAAAGTGAGCCTCGTTGCCATGTTTAATAATAATGCCAAGTCCGATGCTGCTCTTATCAATTTGCTTGTTGCTGGAGCAATTCACTGAATAAAAGCTGAACTTTTTCTCACTGAGAGGAGCACCAGTTCACGAAACTGGAACCACTGTTAGAATGAAAAAGCTGTGAATCGGAATCGATACGAAAGATGGGTGTGAACGTTGCAGTATTTGATTATCTACTGAAGACAATGGCTTTGCGCGTGTGGGGACTACCTACATGCTTTTCATTACACAGAAAGTCAAAAACATCTTTCCAAAATGCAAAATCTCGAGTTGACGCCTTCTTACAGATTTCTTCGTGCTCATGCTCACTTGGCTCGTGAAAAGATACTTGCTCTTTAGTAGCGTGAACAGCGTCAAGGCTAAGATAATATACTAATAAAACAAAACCAAAAAAAAACAAAAAGCAATTACAATTCTGCTTTTTGTTTCAGAATCTTTAGTTCCCCTGTCAAGTCTGTTTCCACTGTCAGTATTTGAATTCGGAGGTTTTAATCTTAAGCTCAATGCCACTGCCCCTTTCATGTAAAAGTGACAGATGATGGACTCAAAACAGTTGGAGTACTTGTCACCCCAATATCTTCTGAAGTCCCGAGGTGGTTTGAATGTGTTCCTCTGCAGTGCATGGTGAGACTCTCTGAACTGTTTCTTTTGTCATAGATTAAGGCTAACTGAGTAGATCTCGACGGGGTCTGGCATTTGGCAACCAGATCTCCGAATTGATTCATGGTACGTGTCAAGGATTCCTTCGTGCCTGCTTCTACCTCGCTGATATTCCTGTAGTTACAGTCCTTTGTACCGATCAATGAAGCTGCTGCGTTTGACAGCTTTCTCCTATGGGTCACCTTGACTCAGTCCAAGCATTCGGAATAACAATCCTGGGAGGAACTACAAAACTAGCCCCCACCTGGAGCTTATTTGACTAACTGACAGCTTTTACCTTCCTGGAATGGAGTTACATCAACGATATCCTCCAATCCTCCTCCTTTCAGTAAACATCAGCGGAGTAGGAATTTTGGAAGAGTCAGACGGTTGATCATCGATCACCTGATCTCGAACGTATTTTGGATTGAATGGGATGGAAGGAATGGCTTGAAGTCGAAGTAGAGCGCAGAGTTCTACCTTGAAGAGACCTTCCCCATTAAACCCGGAGATGTCAACGCAGTGAGGCTCCAACGAGTGGACTTCCGGTAGACAATTCAAGTCTACTTCTTGCAGGACTTGTTCGTAGTGGAAAGTATTTCACTTCCAGAGATCAAGCTACACTGCCGTATTGGGCAGTGGCAATTGACTTAGTATCATCTTCCATGTCGTCTGTACTCCCCACTTATCATGGGCTCTCAATTTTTCTCTTCTGTTCCTAGATTTTCATTAAATGTTTTGACAATTCAACAACAATTCTTCATGACTCTCCTCGCAATGACTTCAGTTTTCTTTTCGGTTTTAGATTTTGGTATTATGACTATCATTCCTGCTGCACATACTGGTTCCTGTGCCTTACATTTTATCATTCATTTTACTCCGAATTCAAATTCTGGCGTCTGGCTATGCCACCGATCTATGTCTTCCCTCTTTCCTCGAGGCAAAAAGCCTGTTGACAATGGTCTGTTGTCGACATTCTGTCCGCTATCTGCCGCCAAAACAGATTTATTTCTACAATAATTTCGTATTTGCTTGGTACAATGGGATCCCTCGTTCAGATTCCTCGCAGCTACTAGGAATCTTGCGACAGCAAAGGTCATATTGAAGCCATCGGCAGATTTCAAACCAAGTTGGAGGAACAACCCAAGCAGAGGATTCTGCATGTTTCTCGACGTCTTCAGGTTGTTTCAGAATCTTTAGTTCCCCTGTCAAGTCTGTTTCCTCTGTCAGTGTTTGAATTCGGAGGTTTTAATCTTAAGCTCAATGCCACTGCCCTTTTCATGTAAAAGTGACAGATGATGGACTCAAAACAGTTGGAGTACTTGTCACCCCAATATCTTCTGAAGTCCCGAGGTGGTTTGAATGTGTTCCTCTGCAGTGCATGGTGAAATGGGGTGAGCAGCGGCATGATACATTTTACACGGCCATCGATACTTTTCGTGTGAAACGGTCCTGGGCCGTCAGACATGACATGTAGAAAGGTGAGGCAAATGTTAATCAGCGACACAAGCTTTACAGGTTCATGATAATATGATAATATGACATTTGTTCAAACATGAAACTCCGTGGGCCAGTTTACAAAACGTGCCGATCTAAAGGAAGGTTTTTCCGTGTACGTTTTCGATTGGGCTTCTCTGTTCATCACGATCATGACAGACAGGATTATTGATACTTCTGATACTCGGAAGCTCAAAGCGTCTGCACTGGGTCTATATCGAAGATCCAGTCTCAATATCGTAATACTCTACGCCGGTTTGGAATTAGGTCCCCGAGATTTCTGAGAGTATGATTCAATAATTCGAATGTGGAGGCCGGGGATCTCTGCTACACAGTGCGATCGATCCACTTTATGATCACCAACAGTATTCGGCTGTTCGGGGACTTCTCTGTGCGACTCTCGACGGTGGTCGAGAGTGCCCGTCACTGAAGGCTTCTCTTCTGCAGTCTAGTGTACAAAGAAAGGGGGAGATTATGAAGAAGAAGAGGGCGAAGTCGTCGGCTAGAGGGGGCAGATGGCGTTGAGGAGAATGTGCGCGAGCATGACATCGACGAAGTACATGTGACCTCCGGGCCACCACGAGTTGGGGTTGGGGATGCGGCCGTAGTGGCCGCCGTCGCTGTAGAAATTGTCGTAGTGGAAGGGAAAGGTCATGTCGAAGGCGTCGACGATGCGCAGGTTGTGGCGGCCGAACGCCGCCACCATGTTCTCGACGATGATGGCGTTCAGCACCTCCATCTTCTGAGGGTTGGCCGGCATGTTCCGGCTCAGGCCGGCCGGCGCGATGGTCGTCCGGTACACGACTTTCGGCCGTCGGCTCGCGTCGTCGCTCGTGTTCCTCCAGACGGACGCCCAGAACTGCGACGCGTCCCTCGCCGCCCGCGCGTACTCCCGCAGGTCCTTCCACCAGATGCCGTCGTGAATTCCCGAGTTCAGGATAATCGCGTCGGGGATGTGGTTGCCGGACTCCGGCGACAGCATCCACCGGATGGCGTCCCGGTAACTCTCGTTGCCCAGCACGGACAGGCCCATGTTGTTGAACTTCATCACCACGTGCCCGTTGAACACCACGCTGAATCTGACCTGCTGCTCCCGGTCCTGCGGGTTGCTAAAATTCGCGTCGTAGATTCGCGGCAGGTTGCTCGAGTTTCCGCCCAGGAGGAAGTTCACGACGTTCCGGCTCGTGTCGGGGTGGTTGGAGTCGCCCCAGAACAGAATGTGCTTCCCGCCGAGGCACCGCCACGACTCGTCGCGGGTGAAGATCCGGAAGTGGCAGTGGGCCGAGTAAGCCCACCCGTTGCTCTCCAGGCTGCCGACCGGCCCTTGGCAGTACGGCTCCTCACATGGCTCCTCGGGGTCCAGGCAGCGCCACCGGCCGTGCCGGTCCGCGGCGCAGGACTCGTTAGCGCGGTTGCGCGTCCAGCGGCCCTGCCAAGGGTAGGTCTCGAGATCGGCCGGCGAGCAGAGCGGGAGCGAGTCGCGCGCCGTGGCCTCGCCGAGCTGGAACGTCGCGTCGGCCTCGGGCACGAAGAACTCCATGGTCACGTTGAGAATGAGCTTGAACACGGCGAACTTCTGCGGCGCCCGGTAGAGGCCGCTGAAGCCGCCGAAGAGGAGGACCACCTTGAAGGAGTAGGTGCCGGCGAAGCGCCCGTCCACTCTGAGCTTCAGGCCGTAGCCGCCGTCGCCCATGTCCTTGATGGGCGGCCGAGACTTCCACTCCGCACCTGCTCTGCGGCAGATCCCACTGCATCGGATCAATTTATCGGTCCATTCTTTTCTGATCAATCGACACTCCTCTCGGGTTCCTTCCCTCTCCCACTCTCGGTCTTTGTTCGTTCGGCCTCGAGATTCATACATACGAGATTCGGCCATTCATACGATGATGTGGACCTTGATTGGCTCTACCATCAATCATCTAATATTTACAGAACATCATGGAGCTCCAGCAGGCCACGAGGCAGGAAGATAGCGGAAATCCTTGTCCAACTTTCGCAGTTTCCGACCTCTCTCTCAGAAGAGACATCATTCACGTGTGTATACCCTGCTGTTGAGGCAGCAGCAGGACACCGGTGCATGGAAAATCGACTGAAGTAGATCTACCTGGATGACCTTTTCTTTCAATAAGAATTAGACGTCATACTTCGAATCTCTGCAGAACGCAGACGGCGAGCAGTAGCCAGGCCGATGGCAAGCCCAGAAAACCGTACAATGGGAAATGTACGCAGCCAACAAAGGCAGTGCACTCCCAGCTCCGAAAGAGCACAATGAGGAAAAGGGCCTAGAATCTTCGAAAAATTTGAAGATGTGAACCTCCGGCTCGAATCTATCCCATTGTAGAAGGTGACAGACATCACAGCTTACTATATCAATACAGCAGATGAACAACAACGACATCAGCAAGATCTAGACAGGCGACAGAGATAGGGCACAACTGAAAGCCGGAAACGTAAAAAAGACGATCCGATCACACCGGCTCCGAAGCTGGGGTAACATTCTGGACAGCAAGCACGACAGGATGGAGGAGGGGATCCTTGATGTTCAGGAAGGTGACGACAGAAAATGTAAGCTGCTCCTGGTTGTCCACGGAAGCGCCCGAATCACGGGGCAGAGAAGAATGAGCTGTGTTAAGAAGCAGTGCAAGTCGGGACCAGGTGGCCGCAAGCCCGGCAAAGGGCTTACAGTCGAGGGCAGAGTGGGATCTCTCCAGTAGCGGCATCACAAGTGAAGAACACGTGCTACAGGCCACAAAGTCCAGCATAATTGATGAAATCTCACTATGAGCAGCATCCAAGTCCTGACCGTGTCATGCTACGTTACAGTGTTGACTCTTGCAAGTGTAGAGAGTGATGCTTTTGGCTGGGACGTGCTTCCTTGACATTAACTTCTTCCGGAGCTGTCCATTTGGCTCCTACTGCGGAAATCTGACGGTTCAGTACATAGCAGCACGAAATTACTTCAGATGACTCTCCACGCTTGCAAGCAAAGCTTTGCCTCGGAGTGTTTTCCGCACTGCAATAAACCGTGCTCGTCATACGTGGCTGCAACAACCTGAGGATCGCGGATCTCCCGCCCTGGCTGAGCGGCAAGAAAGGATAATAAAAATAACTATTCGACGCTGAACTCTGACAGTATGAAGATGGACTGGTGTAGGCTGAGCCAGTGTCAAGAGTAAGCATATTTCATCTGCCATCCGTCTTTCAGTCGCAGCGTCACACTTTACATTCCAATGGGCCCACCTGGATTGCGCTAAAACGTGACTCGAAGTTTCACCCACGTCATGACGAAGGATCTTTGAGTATTTTAACTGCTCTATGACACTAAGACGGTATTATTCCATGATCAGCATTGAGAGGTTTAATCGGCGAGCTTTTTTTTCATAGGGCTTCGTCTAAAAGAATTGTCACCGCAATAAAGTTTCACCACCAAGTTCGGAATGGATTGGTGTGGTTCCTCGACGCCTAAGACACCAGAAAATCAACCCATGAACAAGAAAAGTAAAATACAGAATAACAAGTAATTGTACTTCGATGGGGACTTAAGGGGTGAGGATTTAAGCATGGATTCAGGACTGGTGCTGAAGGAAAATTAGGGCTCTAAGACATGAATTGTTTAAGAGGATCAGTGTCGAGACTGCGGTCGGAATCCTGTTTGACCGAAGCCGAAAACGTCTGCTACAAGAATCTAGAGCTCCTAAGGATTGAATTCTACGGGAGGTTTGGACCTTCATTCAAAGGCCGGCGGCAGTGGTCGAAAAACATTAATTCGGTTTCGCACATTCACGATGGAAAAGGGACGGGACTCGAATATATTTATGTACGAAGAAACTCATCATCTTGGCTGCTGCGAGAATTCATGGTCGGGACTGGAAGAGTGAGCTCACCATCCAAGTCGATCTCGAAGTAGTCTCCACCACTGCATCGACGAACCGCATTTTGATCATAAGAAACGAGAAATATTTCGTGATCCTCATCGACCGGCAGTCGGACAACTCCTTCTGCAGACGGTCTGTCGAGCCCGAACACGTAAACGTCTGCAGTAGGCACCTGCTTACAGCGTTTGGTGGCGTTCAGCTGATTCAGAAACCATGACTCCTTCAGCGCTGAGAAGTCAATTGCCTGCAATTCATACAAGCCAGGGCCAGTTTTGAGTTTTACACGAACTAATGCAAGCCGGAGTCACCGATGCACACTGCGCAAGCAATTGAATGTTGTCCAATTTCTTTGCCCTGGACCGATAATTCTCGACAATGCAACATCGAACAACTTTCGAAAAGCCACATTCCTCCTCAGCAGCTCCACTCCCAAAGCAATCGTCATGATTTTCGCTGGGGCGGGTGGGCCAACCCACCGCTCAGTCATTCCGATGCTAAGAATCTAGTCACTGCAATGCGACCTCTCACAAAAGCGAAATAAATAAAATACAAAGCGACATTGAATCTTATACAACAAACTGACATAAAATCCACCGTACGCGACAATGCAGAAAGACTCACCGGTGTTTCCTTTCCAAGCTTCTGCCTGGATGATCTCGAGACGGTGGGAAGGGCAGCAGGAGCTGGAGCAGGAGCAGGTACAGTCGAATCTCGAGCATAATTGTCGTAAATTTCTAATTTATGTAAGTCGAGTATATCGGGAAACGCCTGAATTTCATCTCTGGACAGAGTATCAGTTAAGCGCGTAGAAATGCACTGCTGCCACGCCAGCAGGGTGCCAAAAGAGTTCAGAATTACGAGAACGGTTGTTAAAATCGCAAAGACGACGAGTAGAACGATGATCTGGTTGAAGAAGCACTTATTTCCCCCGTGCAGCGCCTTCCAAGCGCCTCCAGGACGAGCGAGCAGAGCTTTCTCTCGAGCTCTAGGGCTGCCGGAACTTCCGAGCGTCAGACCCAATATAGAAAAACCGTCAGATGGAGGAGAAGAGAGTCGATGGCAGTGGGGCGCCATGTTGGAAAATCCTGAAGAATCCTGAAGAAGCGTCCAACGGTGTCATGTCATTGTGCCAGAAGTGCCCGAGGCTCACAAAATTCAGCCCAGCCGGCCCACTGCAGTCAGTCGATCGACCACCATCCGCTGCTCCTCGGCACTCCTCACACCTTCACCTACTACTACTACTACTACAACTCGACATCACCAGCACCAGCACCAGCAACAATTCGACAATCTATCTGTCTCAGAATCCTTCGACCACCATGGACGCTTTTAATGCGTGGAACCCGAATCCACAGTGCGCTGAGGAACGTGAAACTCTACAGCCGTGAAGGGTGCAACTGCGGCTGCCAGTCTCTCCCAGACATTCCTACTGAATCTGCAGGAGTCCATATAAGCGAGCCAGGTGAGGCCAGGCCAGGCCAGGCCGTCTGGAACCATCCGATGGTGGTACGGGAGGGGGAGGGGGTGGGGGTGGAGGCACGAACTCGCGGGGCGAGAGCAGGAGTTGACAAACTGGCCGCATTCGGGGCTTGAGGCCGCAGCGTTCAAACGCCGTTGACAAAAAGTCAAGTACAAGACAGCACGACGCCTCGTCCCTCCCCCTGCCCTCCTCCTCCTCCTCTCGAGGCGCTCCAGCGAGCTCGGTGCAGTGATTGGCGGGCTACGTCCTCTTCGGGCACTTGGACTCCACCGACTGTGCCAAAGGCATTCCATGTTTGGCAGGGCGACTCATGCGCTCCCGCACTCAGGAGGCTCCGTGTCGGCTGAAATGGCGCCAGGCCTGCTCTACGTGCTCCCGCATGTGACTCGCTCATCTGGCTCACGAGTCCTTCAGCGCTTTCTCTGCGCTCTCGTTTCCTGAACCGGGTTCGGGGCCGCATCCTTGACTGCTGCTAGCCGGCCTCGACTGATCCACCTGCGCACGATCCAGTGTGCTGCTGCAGAGGCAGCACGGGTTCATGGCCCTTCCTTGCCTTCCACGACTCGCTGCTCTCGGTGCTCACTCCTTTTCCCTGCCCAGTGCCCGGCTGCGAGGTCGGATCCGACATGCCTTCAGCTAATGGCGGAACTACTTGTGTCCTTTTCGGGAGGTGACATTCTCCGGAATGCTTATTCTATGTTCAGGTAGGCCTGGATCGGGCTCATTCTTCCGCCGGATCCACGCACTCGACAGGCGTCGGCCATGAGTTGGACGGCAGAATTCCACAGGCCAGGGCTGCTCGCAGTACGTTCGTACAATGTACCGACGAATCTCCGGCCTCTGCAGCTTCATTTTGGATCCGATCTCGAATTGTGGATCTCCTGGTTGTCCTCGACGCTCGCGGTGGGTCAAGATCGGGTTCAGGTGCTCGGAGAATCAAGTTTATCGGAAGGTCATCTCGGCGTCGAGCTTACGAGTCCGCTTCTGGCTGGTTGTGTGCGTGCAATTCTCGGCGACATATCCTCAGATCTAGACTCTTTTCCGCGAGTTGTGCGACCCTGCGGAGTCATCTGCACCTTAAGACTGAGAAGCCGGAGGTACCGATTCCGTAATGTCTCCTGAAGATGTGCTCCGTCTCCGAAATGCGCACAGAGTGCGCACAACCTTTTCGCACACGCCTCCGCGAGCGTGAGTTCGAGAATCACGTTCGTGCCCTCGCATTCTCCAGGACGGGAGTTAAAGCGATTATGAATAGCCGTAACCTCGAGGTGTAAAAAGTGCAGCAGCTCGAGCGGATTGACTGCCTGTCTACGGAGGAAGTCTTGCCGGCCGGCCAGCGGCCGCGATGAAACGCATGGAAAGCAAAGCCTGTTCGCTCGCTCGAAGAAGTCCTTGACCATGGAGTGTGGGAGGAGCTTGAGACCTTTCCATCTCCGGAGGCTCTTCACTGATGCCCGAGGTCCGAGCAGGGCAGTGCAGGCCGAACGTGATGGTCGTGAGATCCACAGATTAAGGAAAATTTTTGCATCTTCTACATTCACTACTCCCATGGAGAGGTACTACACGGCTGATGATCGATGTAACTTGCCGTGCTAGCTTTCTCTACAGCAGTTGGAGATCTACCTTGTCAGCGTTCCATCGTAAAATTGCGCTATATGCTGCAGCAGAACCTATCGACGATGAGCTGCTCTCCGATGACATCGATATGCTGGAGCGCCGCGTTCATCGAGATTTCGCTGAAGCGCTCATCGTCTTAGCTGGTGAGCGATCTTTCCCTCACACTGGAGATGCTCATCTGCTGCCATCTCCAGCGCGTCGATCAGACGAGCGAATTCTGAAGAGCCTTCGGAGGAGAAAGCAACCTCACAGAGAGTCACATCGCCACTTCTCAGCGGTAGATCCAGTTGTTACAAATCTGCAAATCAGAGCACGCGGATCCTAGACTCCTCAGTTACCAGGAGTTTCGTTCGTTGCTCCCTTAGGCCGCCAAGCGAGTCACGAGCCAAATACTTGCATCGAGGCGGCACTGAGTTTGAATACTGGACGAAAGTCACGCTGTTTCGAATCCACTGATGGCGTCAATTTATATGGTCAAAGCCACAGGTCAGTTCCCGAGGAAACGCTTTCATCCTCCAAGAAGCAGGGATCCTGAAAGGAACACATCCCGAAGTATCGAATGCAGAAAACCTCGGTCTCTTTCACACAGCATTCCGCTAGATGGAACCGGGAATCGAGAGCAGGAACGTCACCATTTTTGTGTTCATCGACAAAAAAACCTCCAAATACTGTCGAGTTTTAGCGAAAATTCCAATTTCTACCGTCGAACACAGATAGTCTTTACCTCAATTGCAGCTGGAAGCCGAGATTCGCAAATTGAAGCGTCATGTGGATTGCTGCGTCCTTTCATCCTCAGCAATCCACTATCAGGCCTGATGACGACGGTTCGAATGGGGATGTTCAAGTTTACTCCAGTTCATCTATCATCGATAGTCGCCAATCGCCAGCTCCACGCCGAAGATTCACCAAGTGGGTGTCATTCGAGGTCGAAATGTTTGATCCAGAAATGAGCAACATCAGTTAACTTGTCTGTCCTCCAGATTATCCCAAGGTGATGCACCTCCAGAAGAAACATGTTCGCTGGGTGAGCATGTCTGAGAAGATGGATGCCAACGGGGTTTCCTCGCCTTAAAGTGTATGAAAGGGAAATGGTAGGTAAGAGAAAGCCGTCGCCGTCAAGCAGGGATACCGAATCGGAAGGCATTGAACTGACATTGTCTGGAAGTCGCTCCAGACAATGTCAGCTCAATGTCTTCGACTTGGAAAAATGTGAGGAATAATGCAACTCCGAGTTCCAACAGCCTACCTCGAGTAGACCTGAGAAACAGGTCTGCTCGAGGTAGGCTGTCGGTGTCAGTGCCGAATTGGGGCACGAGTGCATGCGCACGCGCTTGTGCATGACTATTTTGTCCATACATGATTTGCCCACATGCTTTGTGGATTATGATCTCCAGGAGCTCATAAGAGAGTCAATCGAGCGGGCAATTATTTTGTCAATGTACAGAATTGGCAACGAGCTCTGCACACTTCGGATTTCACAATTCTGTGGCTATGGCCACATCTCCCTGGCTTGAGGGTTTGATTTCGTGGAGCTGAAAGAACTTAGATTGATACCGCTCGGCTTCGATGAAGGCAACGCCCTGAGTATCGGAGATCTCGAACTCTTGTGCCTACTTGTATATTATCCAGCAAAATGAGCTTGGTTCTGGAAGGGTTTTAGTGTGGATCCCAAGGTGAAGGAAGGGTTTAGAGCAGCACGATCTCGCTGAAGTTAAATCTAAGCCACGGTGTTTCCAAGTGCTTCCCGGTGCATTCTGGAGGCACGAACGGGGTAATTATCAAGTTTGTCTGGCATGCTCCACTGACAAGATCATCGAGTTTGTCCCGTTGTGAAAGATGCTCAGGAGGCTGAGCATGACTTCCTGATCATGCTAATCGTGCATACACTGCAAGTCCTTGAGCTATGATGTTTCCTACGAATCCGGAGTATGACTTTTGCGTCTGGACTCGATGTCAGGGCTCCCACAGAGCTCTTACCAGTGCTCGAAACCGAACTAATGTGAAATCATGAAGGTTTCAGATCGAGATTGTGAAGGTCGAAGTTTGACTAAGTTCGAGCGACGATGAACTTCGATTCTGAATGTGAAGAATCGGTGATCATCTTCAAAAAGCTATGAGGAAAGTGAAGGACGAAGAGACGCTTTCTCACACCAAGTCTCTGTGATCTCGATAACTCTCAGTAGAGTCTAGAAAACTTGAGATCAATATTTCTTTCCGCCATGTCAAGTCCGTGCTGGGATAGAAGATATTTCGAAGTAAGTGCATCAGCTTCGAGGAAGTACACACGCTTTTGGCTTGCGGGCGGGTCGCGTCACGCCCATTGAGCAACTCGATCTGCGGCATATATTTTCTGTAATTGTTGAACAAATGTGTTTCATCCGGGCAATCTCGAACCGAGCTTTTCACGCATTCATTGAGACCCTCGAACAGGACGAATCTTCATCATGTCCAGTCGCAAAAGCATGCCCATCCATCTAGTGAAACAATGAAGTTCATGCTCTCCGTCATTGAGTCGATTGACTGGAACAATTCTGATACACACAGACCCTCGAAGTACGACTCGATCCCAAGTCGTCGATCGCATAAACAGCCTACAGAATCACGTAATTCCATCCGAACCCCTCGCAACTCGCAGGCAGAACGAGTCGTCGGTCTGTGAGAGTGCTTCCACTCTTCCCCTCACAGACGCCAAGCACAAGTGGCAGAGTGCATGGAGCAGAGCCGCCGGCAAACACCGAGCTGGGCTTCGGGTAATCGCTCGAACATTGAGTAATAATTCTTGTCCGGCTACTTGTCGAAATCCTCGAAGACAGAAGAACATAAGCTGTCTTTCGTAGGAGCAAGTGGCTTTCGTCAGGGCGTTTGTGGCTTCGGCAAGCTCGCAGCTTTTGGTGGGCTCCATAGCCACGGAGCCGATGCTTGTGCCAAGTAAGCGCGTGCCACCGCCAGTCGAACCCGAGTTAAGCTTTGGGGTCCTGCTGCTTCCTTCGCTGCGGCTGCGGTTGTAGGCCCAGCCGGTCGATCGTGGCGTGGATTTTCGTCGATGGAGAGGCCTGATAAGGACAGGGCTCAGCCCGATCTGCGAAATCACGTGCAATCGCTCGCGGATTCGTTGGGGTTGACCGATCCGGCGCACGCTTCCGATCGCACTTACCAGTCGCTTGCTCTCGGGAGGCTGATCCGCTGCCATTGTGGAGGGGACGAGGCGTTGGTCCGCAGGTGGGCAGTCCGAGTTTGGTTTGGATGGATAACTCCGGAAATTAATGGTGCAGGTCACCGGCCTTCGTTCTCACGTTTTGTGAGACCCTGCGGGCCCTTGTGGTGCATCGACATCTGATGCACAATTGAGTTGAAATCGGTGGTGGAGTCAACTCTTTACAGCAAAATCTCAGTCTGCGCTGAACTGCTCGTGCAGCTTGCATTGCGTTGCGTTGCGTTGGCTTACAACGCCCCTGAAATCAGCCAGGTGAGATAGCACCTTGCTGCTCTTCTCTGACCTCGTCACATCCCATCCCGTCCCATGTTCTGTTTTTCAATCATTCCATCACATCAAACAGAAATGTCACTTTTAGACTCCATGTTTCCGGATCGATTCATCACATCGCTGTACGATGTTCTCCTTCCGTAGAGTCGGTCCGGGGAACTTGAGAGGATCATTTCATCGATCCGAGTTCATCGTTCAACTTTAAATTGACCCCCTCAATCTATCGAGTGTTGGTCTCGCTGTCACTCTCGGAAGCGTGCTATTAAATGAATTATCCGCACGAATTGAGGAAGTTGTTTGAGATCAGGAGACAGAGACGTTGACAGGAAACTGCGTGACGGCTCGACGTGGTCGTGGCCGATTCTCCGACCTCCCGAGCGCAATGCTTCTGTACGAGTCGTACAGCGACTGTACTGTGTACGAACGCACACGGCCGTCCACTCCCTTCGCGGTTCTGGTCCTTGAGCTTCACTCGGAAAGGAGGCGCGAAGTCCTCGTTCATGATTCTTCCGTCTGGGATCAGTAAATGGCGCCTCCCTCCCTCTCTCCCTCCCTCCATCGTTCGATCCCTCGCAGTACGGAGCCGTGCGAGCCTCGTCGATTCCTTTCCACGCCGTCGCATCTTTCTTCGTGTCGCTCGTCCATTCTATCCATCTCGTCGCCGTCGATTGTGACCCAGCGGGCGGTCTCGGTAAAGCTGTACCCGTCGACACTGTTGTCATGCGCAGTGAATTCTGGAAGCTCGGATCGTCCGATGCTCTGCAATTGCAGCGAGGGTTTCCGTTCTCGGCGAAGCTTCACAACGCTGAGGATCTTGACTCTGTAGTTCACTTTACTCTCGGACGCTCAGGGCTGGCTCTCGTACTCGAGCTCTTGTACTGAATATCGAGTGGTCGTTTGATTGGCAGGGAAATTGGGGAATCCCACTCGCGGGCTACGGAAGCAGACTGAAAACATGCCTTTGAAAGTTCTCGTAGTTGGAGCGAGCAGAGGGGTCGGTCTTCAGGTACAAGACTTTGGGGAATCGATGGGTCCAAACCTTCTCTTCTTTGCTCGTCCAGGCGCTGAGCCGAAAGCTTTACCGCTCCTCGTGTTAGACCTAGGCATCAACCCAAGCGTTGACGCTTCTAATTGGAACTCGAACATATCCGGGAGACATACGTGAATTGACCCCCGATGTGGGATATGATTCTTCGAGTTGAGGCCCGAGGCCTGAACAGACTCTCGGTTCGATTTGTTTTCGACCTCAATTTGCAATCGACTCTCAAGTTTTGACATTGGAGAGGCTTTCGCAGGTAACGAGAGCTCTGGTCGAAGGAGGGGACAAATTCGAAGTGTTTGCTCTTGTACGCAGTCAGGAGAAAGCCAGCAAGGCCCTAGGTGACGCCATGTTCTGCTCCACACCTTCTTTTTTCACGATAGGAACGTCATATTGATTTGTGAAGTTGAGTCATAACCATTTCCATAAGTACGCTGGTATGATCGAGGTCTCACTGTACATGTCCTCCTCCTGATCAACTCGATTCCGTAATCGGCTCAACAAATCTTTGTCTTCTATTTGTGGGAGCAAGTATCGTGTTCCTTGAAGAGGGATAATAGTGAGAGTGACCGTGAATAAGCCTCCAGCAGAAGATTCATAATCATGAGCGCTCGACTTCGAGACCTCTTTTGAGGATTTGGCAACTACTGATGATGAATATGGAATGTTGGTCATGTATTGCGTGCCACAGCAGACACGCAATCGAGATGTTTCAATGACGACTAACTTCATTAAGCTGACAGGTTCTTATGCATCAAGAGTGAAATTCATTCATGGAGACATCACCAAGAAGGAGTCCTTGATTCTAGCTTGTCAGGGCATGGATGCCGTTGTCTGCGGCGTTGGTGCCCAATCAGGGTGGAGGTTACCAGGATGGAATCAGTATACTCCAAAGTATGTAGATTACATCGGTGTGCAATATCTTGTCCAAGCAGCTGTTCATAATCGGGTGAGTCTGTGGCCTGGTGTTTTAAAACCTGCTTCAGAAGTGCTTCTGGACTTCTTCTTTTTGGATGTTGCCCACTTCGTCAGCTCTGGACTCTTGACGCTGACCTGTTGATGAAGTACGATACCTGGCTCGCATGAATTGGTATTCTTGGGGAGCTGTTCAAGATTAGAAGAATTTTAAAGTAAAATATCTACTGCTATTACTCCCTTGCAAGACAAGGACTTCCAACATAGAATTTTCAAGCTAATATTCATCTGGCTATTCTCTCCTTTTCAGTGTCTTGACACGCGAGTTCTGATCCCTGGCTATTCATGATGCAGGTTCAGAAGTTTGTCTACGTCTCTTCACTGGGCGTGACAAGGCCATGGCTGCCTATAGTCTTCTGTTTGAATGCTCTGTACGGGCGAGTCTTACACTGGAAAAGCCTTGTAAGTTGAACATATACTCATATCTTCTATCTGTTATTAGAATCTCTTATTCCCCACATTATGTTCTTCAAGACCCTATATCGTGGTCAGGCAGTACATGCTCCATGCAAATTTGTTTCAGATGTCGATCCTAGAGAACTAAGCTCTTCAACAATACATTGCAGGCAGAGAAATCACTACGAGACGCGTATAGACAACACGATGATCTCGCATACTATATCGTAAGACCTGGAGGTCTGAATGACAAGGAAGGTGACCATCATGGGATCATCTTTGACCAAGGCATGTATTCGAAATTTGCCCACTCAAGTCTCCTGTATTCTCTTCCAATGAAGGCGAAGCTGTTTATTTGTCAAATCTCAGTGTTCGTTCTGACCCTGTTGTATACTCACCACAACTGTTGATTTGTACGCTTTATACAGGGGATACTTCGCTTGGAAGCATAACACGTCGGGACGTGGCAACTGTTTGCGTAGCTTGCGTCAGCGAAGAATCGCCTCCAAACGTCACTTTTGAGATCATAAATGATATGCAAAATCCTGCTGGAGATTTGAAGGGTATATCCACATTAGTACCCGATAGTTTTCATTTTTCTCCAAGTCGAGGGAGATGAAAATTCTATAAAATCTGACTTGAAACGAAAGTGTGTAGCATTTTGTACAAATTAGAGTAGCTCATATGTGTATGTTACAGCTCCTTTGCAGACAGTAGAATCAGCTGGGAAGCCAATTGAGGATGATTCAATATTCTTGTGTGTAACTCATTCACTGTCATCATTCTCGAAAATGGAATTGCCTCATTCAATGCACCAGGTTGCGTTTTCACGAAATTCCTTGTCAAGCAGGAATTGGGCATTCATAGCGTTCATCGCTATCTATGTAACACAAGGTACCTTGATCGGTCCACATGCCTCAGGACTTGAAATTGTGCATACTTATAGCTCGTCTGTTTTCAGAGAGTTCCTGGTCTAAGATGTTGGGTGGAAGATGCGCGGCAGCTTTTCATTACCCGAAAAAAAGTAATTGGGAATACGTAGACGTTCTTAGACTTGACTATGGATGTGGAACTGGTTTGTGCTTGCTGGTGGAGTGATGTATTTACAACTTTAGAAACTCATCATCTGTGAGGAGCGAAGAAACACACATTTGCTGCACTTTATGATTCCATGTCCGCATCAGCTATGCCAGGCTCCCACTCCTTTAACCACGTCACCGACGTGTTTCGATACGCATGGTATATCATACTTCACCGTGGGTGCTGGAAGTATCAGATTCAGCTGAGCACGGACGCTGCAAGTTGCTAAAGTTGCGGCTTCACTGAAACATGTAACAACCAATACCTCATATGATCATTCCCTAGTTCTTGCAGGGCGGTTGTGTTTACAAGGAAATATATGGTCGATAGTAATTAGCATTCTCACACCCTAGCAAATGATTTATCTCTGCTCGCAATGTAGGGTGGTTCTTTGCTTCTGCACCCGGCATCGAGCGACTTTCAGCGTGAATAGGAAGGAGGCGGGTGCTGTTACCACACTGCTAGAGAACTGATTCATTGTCAACCTTCAGTCGAAGGTGTCGTTTTGCCGACACCCTAGCGTTTAGAAGCTTTTACCCTCATCAACAGGCCAACTTATATTACTATTTGGGTGTGGAATCAGGTCAAGTAGAATCACCAGTCAGTCGGGGGCGTAAACACAAGTTCTGCTAACCAACCAGCTAAACGTATACATGCAGTTACAAGCTTTCTCTGTGCAACATGCTGGAACCTGTCGTAACCATCCGGATGGAGGTGTGCTTCATGGCCCATCAGTGGTAGAGAGCTGATTCATCCCACACCTTGGCTGAAGACTCTGGTGTTCATTAATAGAGTACCGTCTGAGCATCCCGTCTTCGCTTTGAGTGCTTCCTGGATTGCCGACGAGAACATTCCATGCACACATTCCTAGATTACGTAATCCAGTGACAGGGGGTTTGTGGTTTGCTGATACAGCTCATCATCATTAAGCTATTGCAGTTCTATTAGCAGCAGGTCATGTGTATCGTCCTAACTGGGATGTTGGTCATAGTTTAGAAGAATTTATTGAAGCTCATAAAGGTCTCTTTACTGAAGAAGGTCATAAAGCTCCTGATGTATGTATAAAAACTTTAAAAAATATTTGACTTTTTCGACCACACTTTGCCTCTCGCGGTCATGAGGGAAAGGACTGTAATCGTATTTGAAGCCATGGGAGAAAAGTGAAGGGCATAGTAATGACATACCACAAGTCTGATACTTGATTCAAAATCATGACGTGCTTCCTCCATCAAAAGCCGAATTTCGTTTTTAATTCGACCAAAATCTATTGGTCCCTGCGCGACGAGAATGTCCTTAGGTGTGTTCGGAAATGGCGTGCACTTAACACTCGATACCAATGTTAATCAGGCAGTAATTACCTAACAAAGTCCAAATATTTTCAGCAAATGAAGTGAAGACAGTCATGTCGCTTGATCCGAGGTACCGAACTTAGAGAACCTTCACGTGGTACGAAGCACACTAGAAAAAGGTCAAACATTGTGGGCTGACAAGAGATTCTGTACTTGATGTCTACCTCACCTCACAGAATCAAGCAACAACTTGTACTCGTATGTCGCAACTGTTCCCTAGAATCTTTTACTGTTGACAAATCTGAAAAGAAGGCCAGGGCAATGAGGAAATTCCTCATCGTATCGAAACAACAAGCAAAGATCAATCTGTACTCAAGTGCTGATACGAATCCCACAGTCAATTCGGTTTGATTGTCCGTGAAGTCATGGGTGCATGACTCGGTGATTGACTGGATCACATTGAAGCGAAACTACTGTGATGCCACTTCAAAATGGTTTCAAACGCATGACCGACTGAGGCTGACCCATCTAATGGCAGAAAGTTGAGATATTTCAAGATATTTGCTTCTGAAGGTGCACCAGCGTACGAAGATCTTGAAGTGAGCTGATCAGGCACATCCCTCACAACCATGATAATGCCGAAGGCGTGATTGTACCAGCTGCCAAATTTTTCTCCTGACAACAGCATTTTAGTTGAGAGTTGTGTACATGAGCTGAGGTCGTCTACACAGGTGCTGTTGTGAAAGAAGTAGCTCGTCTCCGCGGGTGAAGTTGAAGAGCCACACAACTTCAACAGTGAGTTACCCCAAAATCCGAAGTTTGAGGTCGAGGGAATGTTGGGAACGCAGCTGTACGATGGAAAAGATTGCTTTCCAGAAAAAATGGCTTTAGCCTCGAGATTTACGAAGAGCTGAGAACTCTCGTGCAAGGAAGATATGGAAAGCGAGCCTGCCCGTGAGCATATTGCCAGCTGCTGCTGATACTGCTGCGGACCCAGGACACCAGGAATTGGAGGAATATGTCTCCTCTCAAGCTGCAAACCAGCCGTCTTTGTCTCTTGTTATTCTCGTCAAGCTTACCAACCAATCAATCAAAGTTGCTCAGAGTTCGTCCATCTTGACCGCCGACGACCTCGGTTTGCTGCGTAGGCTATCCAGCTGAGGACCAGAGCAGATCTGAAACCCACGGCTTCACTCCATGTTTGCATGTGGAGCCTACGCCCTACGTGCTGGTCTTCAACTACACCTGTCTGTGTCTGTCTGTGTTCAGATACTTTATCCACGAGGTGGTGGGGTTTAGCAGCAGCGCACATCTGCTACTCCTCAAAGTTCGTGTCCCGGCACACAGTTGGCATAGAGCTCTGTGTCACTAGTTCAAAAGGATCAGATTGCATGACAAGACACTGGGATAGTCCGAACTGAATCCTCACACGAACTCGAATTCCACGAGGCTCAAAAATCCAGGCCAAGGTAATTGTGGATGATCATGTGTCGGAATAGACGTGTGGTCGCTCCGTATGAAGTCTTGCAGGCATATTCATCGAACGTGTTCAGACATACTCTTTCCAAGTGGTCAGACAGTCTTGGCCTACAACCAAATGAGGTCTAGGTCCTCTTCTTCTGTACTCTTAGCAACTACTTCGTGGCTTAATCTCCACTGGACCCTACAGACATCACCTTAAGCAGTACATATCACATATGGCCTCTTTTTCTACCGTAAAGTGGGGGCCAAGACAGCAGTCATTCACTGATGAACTTCAGAAATTCGGGTCGATACAAAAATCTTTACTTGGTGTGTTCTTGAAGGTTAGTGATGGTAGGGTCTTTCAGCTGTCCATTGAAATTTGTGGTGGTTGATTCGGTGGTCTAAAACCAGTTGGGGTTCATGATTCAGTCCATGTTCACTTCCATAGCCAGGCAAACTTCGCAGAAATTAGCAACCTCCCTGATATTAGCTTTCACAGGTTTGAGGATAACGTCTTCTCGAATCTTGTGAACTTGAACTTCATGATCAAGTATAAGATCATGTGTACTAGTAGTAGAGAAGGCCAGATTGTGCAAGAGAGACACTCGGAAATACGGACAGAACTTCCAGAAAAGGAGAAACGAAGCCCTACAACATTAGAGTAGCTTCAATGTCGTACTCCGGTGCTACCTACTTTGACTTCTGGAAACTAGGCAGATGGAACTGATGTCATACATTCTTTGGAAGGCTTCATGAATGAGCTGGAGCGATTTTCACACAACACCTACTCACAGCGACCTCGGCTACTCAAAACATATCTATTTCCACTTTGTTTGCATATCCAATGCTTTGCATAAGAAAGCGTGAGCAGCGACCATCACATGATTTGAACAGCTACGGAATCATTGGGCTACACCCAACTCTAACTAGGAGCGCACACAAGTATCACCAGACAGATCATGGCCAGCTATTGCTAAATACCATCCTCCATGTGATTTAACTTCTTAGGCTGTGCCTAAGGGAAGAAGATTGCTTCTAGAACAAAATTCTATACAAAGATGCAACTTCATGAATTTCCCTGGTGTCTAATCCTACTTGTACTCCTGAAAATATCCTATGCTACAACAATACGGAAAAGAATGTCAGCCGACTTATTCTTCCTGTGTAATGGAGAGAGTCATGTAGAATCCTGTTCCTCTCCTGCTGAGCTAAAGAGAACCTGTGTCCGGGGTGGTATCGACTTTGTCGACTGCCCCTGGAAGTGGTATCGACTTTACACAATGATAGTAGCCATTCTCGCCATACACAAACCTCTGAGAAAGATGAGCTTCCTGAATGGCAAACTCACCCCACTTCCACTGCCCGTACTGCTCCAAAATCTCGGTTGCGTCGAAGGGGATGCGTTTCCCAAACCTGAGATTTTTCTTCACGGTACGATGGGTAGTGTTCATCAAGGTTGCATGGAGCTTCAGGGGCTGACCGATGTCCTTTTCCATGACGAGACCTGACTCAACGTATGCGTCGATCAGAACCTGGCAAGCCTGCATTAGCCTGTCCTTCTCGGCAGAGTTCTCGACCCGTGCAAACAAAACATGAGCCTTTTCGCGCTTGCCTTTCATAGTCTGCACGCCTTGGATGTCCAGAACTACGGGTTTTCCTTCCAAGGCTTCGTGCACGGAGGCCATGGTCTTTTCCAGCACCTCAGATGCCGCTTGCACACGCTCTTCGTTCCACAGCTTCAACATCAGCACTGTGAGGTGAAAAGTGCGTGGCTTCACGAATATGGACTTATCAATCCCTGATTTGTTAAGAGCAGCTGTCTTAGCTTCTTCTGTGACCCCTTTCTCCATATCTAGAACCTCCTCTTTGCATACCTTCTCCTCCTCGAGAATCCCTTTCTCCAAATTCATAATGTCAGCCTCCAAGCTTTTCCCCTCCTCCACAACGACGACTTTCTCAACATCCATATCTTCAACAGTGGAGCCCGTGACGACCTTCTTCTCTGCATCTAAAGTTGCGGCCTTCGGACTTGCGATCTCTCTCTCAGTCATACCCTTCTCTTTCTTCTCCAGATTTTCAGCCTCGGGGCTCGTCGCTCCATTCTCATTCAAGCCTTTCTCTACCTCCGCATTTGCAGCCTTGGGGCTCTTCGACTCCTCCTCGCTGACTCCTTTCTCGGTGTCCATGGCATCGACCTTGTCTTCATCAGACACGCTCGATTCCCCGCTCGAGGAAGTCTGCTGATTCCGAGCTAAGATCCTCTCCTGGAACTTTTCGACTTGTTCCAGCAGATCCGGGTGGGTGGCGAGGGGAAGAGAAATGAAGTGAGTATACTGCAGTTTGCTCTGCACGGCCTCGTCCAGGATAGCTTTGATCTGCTTCTCGGCAGCTTCAATTCCAGCTGCAGAGCCTGTGATAACAACAGAGCATCCAGACTTTGAGGTTTTCGCCTCGTGGGTGGAAGGAACCTTGAGCTTCACTCCACAATCTTTCTGTATCTTGTCCTTGGTGCTGCCTCCTTTCCCAACAAGAAAGCGCAGCAGCATTGTGTCGACGTCCAGTGTCTTGGAAGAGCTCTCCGAGGGAGTCACTATTGATTGCTGATCAGCAGGTGAAGCTGAGTCCGATGCAGGTGCTGGTGCTGATGAAGCTCCTCCAGAGGGTTCACCAGCAGAAACAGAGCCATCGTTTTCCTTCCTTGCAGCTGCAGCCGATTCGGCATTTGCCGTGCTCACCTCGGCAGCAGTGGACACGCTTCTGCCTCGTTTCTTCTCCTTCCAAACCGTCGTTCCTTTCTTCATTGCTTCTTGCTTCTTAGGCCCTATGGTGGAAACTGCAGAAGAATGAAGTCGAAGCACTCGCAGCTCCCCGAACCCTACAGCTGATCGAGACGAGGACAACGAGGGAGTGGAGTTTCTGTGACCGGGAATGATGCCCTGTTCTTCAAAGCTGAGGTGAGACACGGAGACCACACCGGTGCTGACTCTGTGTGACTCAGGGGAGGAGCAAGAAGAGTACCTTGGACCTGCTGCTACTCGAGGTCTTGATTGGCTCGGCTGATTGTAATTGATGGAAATTCCAGCTTTCTCACTTTCACGAGCAGCAGAAAATGGCCAATCTCTGCTGCATCCGGTCAAGAGAATAACAAAATTGGACGATATGACTCTTGTGAACTGTTCAGGCAAATGTTGACGGATGCATCTTAAGCTCATTTTGTGTCGAGCTTGTAAACGAACGCACAGACGAACAAAATCGATAGAGAAAGGTAGGGCAGATACGACGAACGAACCTCAACCAGGTGGAGGAAGTACAAGTGGAGATGATGGTGAGGTGTGGTGGGCAGGCACACCAAACAATGCTGTGCTCCACTACGTATAATTTGTCACAAAGACACCATTTCAGCTTCAATCGCCCGAATAATCTGAGGCCGATCTCCAACTTTCTCTACACCTTCACTCAAACTCAAAACCTTTACAGATTCGCTCTCATTGCAGCGCCCCACTTCGAGCAGCCCCACTTACCACACGCTAGCGACATGGTGAGCATCATTCTTTGATTTGAGTACGCCAGTCCTGATGATTTTGGAAATGCTGGCCACCCGAAGCAGCAGCAGCAGTACTAGCACTACTATCAGTACCAGCGAGCAACGCCCAGACTTTCACTGCGGCAGAAGACCGACCGCGCTCACAGGACGAGTAGGATGGGCAGAGCATGTGTTACGAGCTCGGTAATCACGATCACCAACAGTGCGCTCGATGTTAGGAGAGGCCAAACTTCTGGACTCAGAGATAAGCGCACAATTCTCGATGCACACTGGCGTCCGTTTACCGTAATGCGATTCTGACTGGGATTATCTAGTTTTAATTCAACAGGTTCTTCGAGGCTGTCATGCCGTGTTAGGGTAAGCGGATTCACTATTACCGGGAAATGCTCCCAGAGCTCCAAGTGCTGCTGCAAAGCCCCCCTCCCCGGCCAGACGACCTTCTGGGGCAAGTTTCTCGGACTGTCGGTCGTCACGACAAAACTGTCACCAGTCAAATCGCGGTGTGCTTCTGGGAGGACTCGAGACACCGACCGAAATTTCCCCACAACAGACTTCCCTTCCGTCTCGGCCTTGACAGTGTTCTTTTCAGTGTGAGTAATTCCTGGAACATCGAATTTCATTAGCCTTCGCTTGCATCATTCTGCTTAAGCGGAAGCTTCACCAGGTCCAGCTTAGAAGATCTTTAGCGCCTGTGTCATGGAGTCTGTCGGGCTCGGCTCTAGGGTTTATAGCGGGTTTCAGCTTCCAACTGGCTGGGAAGGAAGGCGAGGTGGGGCCACAGCAACACAACGCGCTGTAGGCCGGGAGGGACTATGATGAACTCGTGGTCCTACCAAAGGGTCGGACTCGTGGTTTCGCTCGATCTCGAGTATCAGCTCCGCGCTTTCGTTTGATAAGAATCGGCACAGAGGGAAGATTTGAGCTGTTCTCGAATTCGAATTACGAGACACAGTCTGGAGGATCCAGCTCGTTCTGGTCGAATGCGTGAGCCTGAGCTACCTTTGATGGTGCTCGCGGCTTCGGCGTTGAGGCTGGGAGGATTGTCTCGAGAAGCCGAGGCTGACTGGTGAGTTTATGAGAACGTCAAGCCGGAGATGTGTCGATGCAACTATTGCAGATGGGGCGGTCATTGAGGTACAGGAGGTCTGTGTATGGGACTTCGTTGGCGAAATTCATAGGAGGAAAAGGTTTATGGGTCAGAGTGATGGGTGATTCTCTGAGGTTTCGATTCAGGTAGCAAAATAAGGGCGGGGAAGCACAGAATTCGTATTCTACTTGGAGCACAATGACAATATCGAAATGGATCCGTCTGATTGGATGGAGGGTTTAGACAGACCGGGAAGAGGAAGAAATTAACTTGCAGCCAATATGGAAAGAATTTTGTGTTATCGATCCTTCCCACGGCAATTCGCCACGCTGTTAAGAGTCATGGCTTTGACTTGCACCTCTCCCTCTACCTTTGGCGAGCATCGGAACAGCAACTTCACCAGAGCTTCCTATCCAACAAGAGGCAGTGCTTTTGGCCTTGTCCAAGGTGCAAACGTACCTTTGCTTACTTTCTTCTCGATGATCATATCAATGATTGCCTCGAGTCCTCACTGTTAAAGAGCTCACAACCGAGAGTAGCACCAGTCAATGAACCTGCAGAATCGTCGATAAATGTAATTCTGTTCTTCAGAATTAGGTGACGGAGATTCTTCAGCTCCTGAACTCTCCAAGGCGGAAGACATAGGGGATCTTCAGGTCGGAGGTGAAACTCACATTATTTTGTGTTAGTGTAGGCCAGGACAACGTAGCCACTAAAGTAGATCAAGACGTCCAAATCCAAGATGAATTCTATAATGCGGAGTTACGCTCGTGTAATGATGAGCTGGGCAGGTCGAAGAGTACGCTAAACACCTCACCAAGTGATGCAGTTGTTAATTTGTCAATGAAGTAAGAAATCTCTAAAAATTATTGTCAATCCGGGGAGGCTGAACAACGTGTGAGGAAGTCTGAATGGCAAATGGGAGCACGAACTGCAGCGGATTCGGAGAGCATAAGAGCTGGGTCTAAGAGTAGAAAGGCGGAAATCAGCTTTTGAAGATCGAGATTTTCATGAGCTTTCGAAAGACGCGAATGGAAGAGTAGTAGCATGACCTCCGCCCGGAATCAAGTTATATGAACGACACAGCAGAGTCAAACAATTCATTCGATATTATTTAAGCGACCTGAGGAAAGAAGACCCTCTTCTTCTTGTTACAAAGTAGTGACTGTAGCCATACTACTATACCCGAGCAAGAGTTTAAGCTTACACTAGAACCATGAGGATGCTTTCGTTTGGGTATGATCAGATCGTCTTGTATCCGTTGATGTGTTTTTGTTTTCGTGCAAGAGAAGTGTCGAGTCCGAAGTGAAAGATGCCGTTAGAGAGTGCCAAAACTTCAAGTGGCAACCTTCGGAAAATCTGAAACCAAAGTGTGAAACGGAATTGTTGATACTGAGTATTGAAGTATAAATAAAAATCAAAGTATTATGTATATCGAATTAGTGCCAAATAATTATGACTTTTAATGTGTTAAAAACAATTATATCCAAATTTTAAAATGAAAGGCAATGAGAAAAGCCTACAAGTAAAAATCAGAAACAGTTACAAAATTAAAGTAACAAGTATAGATTAACATTAAGTTATTGTGAGAAAAGAAGCATAAATGTACAAAATAAGATGATGACAAAAAAAGTAACAAAAGATAAGAATAGTAAAAAAGATACAATCAATAACAGAGAATAACAATAAAAAGATGTTATAAATTATACATAATAAATATTCTGGTTTGAGATTGAGATAATGATGTCAAAACATGTAGTTGTCTTTCATTAACTAAAATTTCTTTTTGTAAAATTTGTTAACAATAGATTTGAAATATGAAATCACATATGCATGAAAGATTTGAAATTCATTTAAGATATGTTTTGAGATTTGTGATGGATTTTGTACATCGATGTTCACATATTATCACATTAAAATAAAAAATATCAAAAAACATGATCTATTTCATGATTATAGTTCATTGAATGAAAAAATTTTGATGATGGAATGTGATTATTGGATATATATAGAAATTTTATGAGTGTATTGAACTACTTGTAAAATGAGGGTAGAATGATAATTTGTAGTTTTTTGCACATGAAATTGTCTTATAAAATTTGATACTACAATGTTAAACCTTCAATTGATTTTATATTTATTTCTTTTTCATAAGATATCATCAAATTTAAATGTATATTGTGATCTATTGAGATGAAGAAATTATATTTTTTAATGAATTTGTATCCGTATTGATACTGTGAATCGTTAGTAAAAAAGTTCTATGAAAAATTGCATCAATATATTTTAGACTAAACATTTGATGAATTAAATTGTGACACATTTGATCTGAATTTATTCTATACATATGTATATAATATAATATCATATGAATAGATAGAGAATGAAACAAATTTTTGTGAAAAAATTTGATCTCTAATATTACAGAGTTGTTATAATATCATCTTTAACTTTTGTGATTTCTAATTTGAAACTATTATATGATTGTCATACTTATTATATATTAGAATTGTGAAAAACAACATGATGACATCATTTGATATGGATAACATTCTAAATAAAATCTTGAATGAGATAAAAAAATCATAAAAATATTGATAGATAAGATTTTTTCATATTTGAGTATGAAAATAAAATAAAAATTTGAAAAGATGAAAATTGAAACTTCAGTAAATAAATTCGAATTCAATTAAGCTTAATTTTCATTGACATTTCAAGCTCATATAGATTTTAACTCAAAGAGATGGAAAATCAAATCATTGTTTTGTTTTGAAAAAAGAAAATTATGTAAAATAAAATCATACATAGGAAATAAAAAAATGATATTTTTAGAAATATGAATCATGAAATATATAATTATGTCTCATTTTATTTTTTTGAATTTATTACAAAAAGGTTCATGAGATCTTATTTTATAATTTAGATTTGTACATGATAAAAAACAAAACTTTGTTACATAAAAAATAAAACTTTGTTAAATCAATATGATTCAATTTCATGAGTGTAATGTTCACTATAGATGAAAAAAAGTGCTCATTTGAAAGATGACTTATATTTTAAATATATTTCTTTTTCCTTATATATCTATATTTCAATTTTAATCAACTAAATATGATTAAAAAACTCACTTATTTTAAGATGCGATCTCTTTGTTGCATATTTGTTTGAAATTTTGAACTATCAACATATATAAATAACTATCTAAACATCAACTTTTTACAATAATTATCCACGTGATATTTTTGTCAATTTCAAACTATCATCAATATTTCTTTGACTAAATGTAAGGTCGAATCCTTTGTGAATGTAACGCCCAACAATCAAGATAGATCAGCACGCACGACAGTCGCAACGTTAAGATAAATTTCCATAGCCTAGTTCAAGGGCAAGAGTAAAACTTCACTAAAGCACAAGTGTATACACGGCCTTCATAGCGAACTATCAAAGTGCAATTCTAAATTGTATGTATTGAATGGCTCCCTTTCTCTTCTATAAAATAAAAGATAATGTGCACGTTTTAGCTAGTCTACCACAGTTAAGATACCTAACTATTGTTAACGCAAATTAAAACTAATCCAATATATAAATAATCTAATAGTGAATATATTTCACAAATTTGTTGAGTGTGACTAAGTTGTTCAAAAACTATTAAACTCTTGGAAGTTTTATCAAATTTGATGAAATTATAATATGAACATCATATGTGAGATAAAATGAAAACATTTTTTTAATACATTAATAGATTTATTATATTCAAATTTCATAAATATCAAAAAGTGTACCACTTTTGTTGTTGATGCAAATGTGAATGCATGTAGTATATTTGTTCTTATTCTATTGACTACTAATTTGATTATTATAGACTTTGAATATTGTTAATTTTGTTTTAAAAATACTTAACAAAGTTTTCTAGAATCAAATGTGATATGACAATCTTTATTATTGAGTAACATTTTGTTTAATTCATTATTCACAAAAACAATATAAGATTCAATTAAGCAAGTTATGAACACTGTTTTTATTTTGTTGGTTGGTTTTATGTGAATCATGTTGTTCAATTTGTATAAAAAAATCACTATTTCATTAATTTCTAACAAAATTTTTGATAAATGTCATACATATCACATGAAAACATGTTATTATTATTATTAATTACAAAGAAGTTGTAATAAATTTTATAAATGATGCTTATAATCATTCTAGATTTTGCTATATATCAATATATCATGTTAAAAAATTATAAATATTTTTGATTAAGACAAAAAATATCTTTTTTCAATTTTATGAATAACAGGTTCATTATTGATATCCAAAAATATCACTACATACTTAAATTACTAGATCTAAAAAAAATTTGTGAATATTTTCATTTGCAATTTACTTGTTTTGAGCTTTGTAAGGTAAAAGATTTGATTGAATGAATCTCTTGCTCAACATCTATTTCATTTAAGTTTTGTATTTTTTAAGCCAGACAATATGAACCTATGCAAGCTGACATGCTTCTAAATTTTACCTTGATCTTGTGATTCAACTTCTTTTGATAATGATATTGCAAATAAACTATATAAAAAATCATGTTAATGTTACTTAAGTAATGTCTTTGTTAAATAATTTTTTTTTATAAGTCTCAAAACTGTACATAATTTATAAAGAAGTATGTTTTA